TCAACCCCCGGTAAGACGAAGCACTTCCAAACGATCCATCTCAGTGATCAAGTGATTCTCTGCGATTGCCCTGGTCTTGTTTTCCCCAACTTCGCATTCACCAAGGCCGACCTTGTCTGCAACGGTGTTCTGCCTATTGACCAAATGAGAGAATACGGCGGCCCTGTTGGCCTCATCACCCTCCGCATTCCCCAACCTTTCCTCGAAGCCATTTATGGTATCCACATCAAGACCCGACCTCTTGAAGAGGGCGGCACGGGCATTCCTTCCGCGGAAGAGTTCCTCAGGGCGTATGCCACTGCCCGTGGCTTCCAAACCCAAGGTCTTGGGCAGCCAGATTCGTCCCGTGCTTCACGATATGTTCTCAAGGACTACGTGGCCGGAAAGCTCCTCTACGTTGAACCCCCACCAAACTACTCCGGGGAGCCAAACGAATTCAACAGGGAGCTTTATGACGACCTCCACCTCCCAGAGAAGCGCCGGGCTGCATTCAACTCAGCCATTGGCGCTCTATCACTCGAAGATGACAAGGACACAGACTCCCTGGTCTCAGACTTCATCCCACTCCCCGCCGGTCCCAAGTCGCAGAGCATCGACAAGGGCTTCTTTGGTCCCAAGGCGGCAGAGGGCCACCTGAGCATGCCTTTCAACCACAAGTACACGGAGCAGGGAAAGGACAAGGCCATTTCAGGACGAAAGGCACGGACAATGGTCGCACTGGAAAACGGGCTGGATCCCAAGGACGTGCAGCTCGCATCCAGCAAGAAGCATTTTAAGGGAGGAGCTAGAGGGAAGAAGGGAAAGAAGAAGGCATCCGACGATTATGACGACTAAGCATGGAAAAAAAGAGTAAAACGAAAAAAGTCAAAATTTTAGTAAATAAGCATATGAATTGAACATGAATTTCTCATCAACGAGTTTCCCCGCATTATGTGTGTGAGAGAGAAGCCGTAGAGAGCCCTGGGATTCTCAACTGCCTCATACGTAGAAAACGTAGATATCTGGCCATGGATAAAATAATGGACGTTGTTTAAGCAATGTCGACTACCTACTAACTACTGCTAGTGTCATTGCTATGAAAAAGGGCGGCGGATTGTTCGAGAAGAATCCTCCGGCCACGTTGATTTTGTGCCCCTCTTTTGACCCAACAAATGTCTTTCAAGGGCGTGGGCGAAGCGGCCCGATTTGAGTCTACTACAAACTGGGTAGGTAAAATGGCTGTATACAGACCAATGAACATGCGCGTCGATCCTGCTGATCTAGATAAGGTAACTAGTTGATGCCTGTCAAGACAAGACAACGGCAACTGTAACGTCTAGTCTGACAGTGGAAGCCTCCAGCTCTCCCAAATGCCGGACATACCCTTGATCGAAATATGACTCGCAACTCCCCAGGTTATACTATTCTTATGCCGAAATCCCTAGTTTGAATTCCCGCGTGGGTCTTTCTCCTCTTGACGTGAGAGAAAAGGGCGTGTATTGACGTTTTTGCGTGTGTGCGTGCATGTGTATATATCTGCATGTCTTACCCGTCTGACGAGTCCCACCAGCTGCTGTTACATCTCTGTTATTTTCACCACCATCCCTCCACCCACCCACACACAACGGAGCAGATCACCAACTTGACCTCTCTACCTCCAAATAACACCCGGAGCTTCTGATCCTGATCTGAGATATTTCAAGACAAAACTAAAAGCCCAGAAAAACCAGACACAATGGTCGCACTGCCTGCAGGTGCCAAGATCCCTTGGATCAAGTCGCCATGCGTTCTCAGCCCCGAGCTCTCCCGCGTTGCTGGTTGGTATGTATTTCTTTCCTTTACACTGAACCTCCCCTTGCCTTCTATCCGAGTAGCCTCTTGCTCACGCCCCCGAGAACAGCAACATCTACCTCAAGCTTGACAACCTCCAGCCCAGCGGGTCCTTCAAGTCCCGCGGGGTGGGAAACCTCATGGTCCGGGCAGCCGCCTCCGGGCCTCCTGGCATCCGCTTCTACTGCTCGTCCGGGGGCAACGCCGGCCTCGCCTGTGCCACCTCGGCCATCTCGCTCGGCTGCACGGCCACCATCGTCATCCCGACCTCGGCCCCGCCCATCATGGTGTCCAAGCTGCTCGCGCTCGGCGTCGAGGTCGTCCAGGTCGGCTCCAACTGGGCCGAGTCGGACGCCCACCTCCGCAGCGAGCTCCTCGCCAACGACCCGACGGGCGTCTACGTGCCCCCATTTGACCACCCGCAGATCTGGGACGGCGCGGCGACCATCGTCACGGAGCTGAGGGAGCAGCTGGGCGACACGCCCATCCACGCCATCGTGTGCTCTGTTGGCGGCGGCGGCCTCCTCAACGGCATCATGCAGGGTGTCGAGTCGGCTTCCTGGCCTGAGGGCGCCAGGCCAAGGGTCATCGCCGTGGAGACGACGGGGGCGGACAGCCTCAACGCCAGCGTCCGCGCCGGGAGGCATGTGACGTTGCCGGGCATCACGTCCATTGCCAAGTCCCTCGGTGCCACCCGTGTGTCCGACCGGACGTGGCAATGGAGCCAGGAGAGCAGCATCCTGGAGAGCGTGGCCGTCTCGGATGCAGATGCGGCGATCAGCTGTGTTCGCTTTGCGGATGATGCTCGCACGCTGGTTGAAGTGGCATGCGGGGCGACGCTGGTCCCTGTCTATCGTGGTGACCTGCGGGAGATGCTTGGAAAGGGTTTGTCAGATGAGGAGTGGGCCGAGAAGAACGTCGCCGTCGAGGTATGCGGAGGAGCGAATGTGACGCTAGGTTTGCTGGCTGAATACCGAGAAACGTACGCGGGCGAGACGACTATCAAGTGCTGATGGGCGGCCCTCGTCTGTGACTGAAATGAAAACGGCATTAGAGCGTTAGATTCGAATTTGTTTCCCTATCAAAATAAAAATGAGACCGATTTTGAGTTGAATCCTTGAGAACTCCGGAGATTTGGTAAATGCAGAATTATTAGAGAACAGCCCCTCCATTTTTGTAGTCAAGAATGATTCTTTAGCTTGCTCATTTCCCTTTCCCTCGTCCTTTGGTGCCTTTGTTTCCGCCTGCCGCGGCCTTGGCCTTTCTCTCATCCACAAACTCCTGGATAATCTGGTGCAGGTCCGGGTTCTTCCTGGCCAAAAGCATTACGTCGTCGGTAGTCACCGTTGACCTCCCTGCGTGATTGCAGAAACTCTCCAAGTCGCCTGCGACATTCTCTGGTTACCGTTAGTTGTCCGTCTCTTCTCCTCTCGCCCGTCTCTCTTTTTTCCCGCGTCAAGACGACGAATGTGTTCTTACCAATCTGAGTCCAGACGAGTTCGGTGAGGGCACCGATGTACTGCGGCGTCGCGTTGCGGTTGCGACGGATGGACTCCTCATCTACAATCTGCCCGACGGCGTACCACAGGGCGGACTTGAGCCGCTACAATCACGGAGGGACACCAGTATGTAAGCTACCTTCTCACGTGATGATTCTGCTGAGCATTGGACATTTACCTCGAGGTCATCTTCTGCGCTTGGATCTGCCATTATCGATGCTTTGGGGTGCTAATATTTAAGGTGGTGAAATTGGCTTTACGCGTCTCAGCACAGCGACGCGTTGCGGGGCAGAAAGTGGCCTGCAACCACTTTACTGGATGAGGGACCGTGTTGAGGGGCACTGCCGGACACAGGGACGGGAAGGATCCTCTTCCTGGAGGCCAGTAATTCTTCATCAGGGCTCTGATCTATCTCACGGTCTATATTTACGAAATCAATGTGTGCTTTTCGTCGTCGTCGATGCAACAAAGCTACACTGCATTGCTTGCTGCTGTCACATTACCCGGCTGCGCAATCCTGAGCAGGTTTGGGGTGATGCCCCGAGTACTTTTGTATTCTGCCCAAATCACATGAGCGATTGTTTCTACATAGTGGAGATGGTTTCGAATGGAAGAAGCAGTAGAAGGGCGGAAGAAAGGAGGAAAGAAGTGAAGTAAACACTGCCTGGTGACAAGGCCATGACGTCAATCGCGAACTCTCTTTCATTCAGTCTCTCAAAGCCGAAAAAAATGAGAACGTTCGATCGAGTTTGTTTCTGCTAGCGGCGTTCAAACTGCAACACTTTTGGTTATCTGGCCGCGCAAACACCTAGCGATCGGGACTTGGCTGCATCATCTGATTGTGGAACCCGCTCTTTATCACATTCTTCTGCGCTGATACCTACCTTTAGTGGCCTCGCCCAGACATCGTGGATGTTGCCAAGAAGAATGGTACATACATACTCGAGTGCGCTCCGGCAAATGCTCCGGAAACGTGCCGTCTTGAGCCACTGTAATCTAGGTCATTTATTAGCTTCTGCGTAGGCACCTTGTGTACCTTATGGGGCGTATTGACATCATTCATGCCCGCTAGTACATGTACTTTCACTTGGCTGTGCACGTGTGGCCAATCAGCGCGGGCAGCCCCAGCCAATGCTCCGCCCCATTGTGTCATCACCAGCCACAGTCCGACTACATCTAAGGCCCGGTAACCTGATTTGCTTGACATCACGGCTGGTCTTGGGTGCTACCGAACCAGGAAATGGTTGTGCGGCCGAGTTCGACGGCCGGCACTTGGTTTGGCACTATACAGGTGCTAGCATGGGGCACCACACCCGAAAAGAGGAACCGTGGAGTTTCTCTCTGCGACGGTGTCATGTACTGTACTGCGCATACATACGTAATGCTGCGGCCACTGCCGATTAGTCCGCAGATGGCCACCCGCGTCGTCATCCTTAAAAGCACCTGCAGTGCCGTCAATTCCCGTTTAGATTCAAGTCTTCCCTAGCTGATGAATCATTGTCCCTGGTCGTTAGGAGTCGTCCCTTAACACTGACCCTATTGCTCTGTCCCTGAACTATATTTCCAGCCTTGTCCTCCCCTTCCCAATTGCCCGGGAGCTCACTTCGCCCACATCCCGTCAACATCGACTGTGGCGTACCAGCAAACCACAAACCCAAGCAAAGCTATCATCTCCCAAAACATCTCGCAACCATGGGCGCCAAAGGAGGAGTCGCCCTCAAGTTCCTTCAATGGTTCATCCGGGGCGTCCAGCTTCTAGCCTCGGCACTCATCCTCGGCGTCTACGCCTACTTCCTGGCCGCGCTGCACAACCATGACCTGAACATCACCAACCAGGTGCGCGCCGTTGCCGGGATTTCCGGAGCGGGTGTGCTGTACAGCATCATCGGGCTGCTGCTCCTGTGCTGCCTTGCCGGCATAATGTTCACCTCCTTCATCGCCATCGTCCTCGACGTTGCCTTCATCGGTGCCTTCATCTACGTCGCCGTCGCCAACAAGAACGGCGCCAGCAGCTGCACAGGATACCTCGACACTCCGTTCGGCAAGGGCCAGGACAGCAGCAAGGCCAACGGCAGCGATGGCTTCACCTCGCTGCCTAGCTTCCACACCGCCTGCCGACTCCAGAGCGCCTGTCTCGGTGTCGCAATCATTGCCATGTAAGTTTTTCTCAGCTCAATATTTGTGAACCAAACCATACTGACCAAGCCCGTGTAGAATCTTCTTTGTCCTATCCATCCTGACCGAGGTCGCCCTCGCCCGCCACCACAACAAGGAGAAGCGCTTCGGGCCCGGCCCCAACAACAACTACACCACTGGCTACGGTTCGGGCGGCCTCTTCAACCGTATCTTCCGCCGCGGCAAGAAGAGGACCGGCCCCGAGGAGAACGCCCTCCCCGCGCACACCACCCCCGAGCAGCTCGACCACAACCGCCAGAGCTACGCCACCGAGACCACGGCCGTCCACAGCAACGACAACCCCTACTCCGCCGACTACCCCAAGCAGGAGACCGGGTACGGCTATCCCACCACCCAGAACGGCGTCGGGCACCAGACTGCCGCCACGCCCCAGAACTATCGCTACGGTGATGGCGTCTATGACCGTGCTTAAAGGAGGGGATGGGAAAAGATTGTTTGATGATATACAAGATAACGCTAGATTGATGAGATGGTAAATTACCTACCTGATGTTACATTAATGAAAAACGGAGGATATGTGTCGGAATATGACGATGTATAACTTCAGAAGCAACAAGTTTTAATAATCAATTATTTCTGTATGACCTTTGTCCACATTTGTATGCCTTTGATAGCGGCGCGGAGTAAACAACTGACAGCCCGTAAGCACCCAGCCGCGAAATGCCAAAACATTTATTTATTCTCTAGATCGAATACTTGTCTATGATTCTTCCCAGGGTAATGCTGAACCATAAGCCAACTGAATACTTTTATGCCCAGCCCTCCACATGATCCAGCTCGCTCATCCCGTCATCCGCCTGCACATCAGCCCAGTTGAAATCCAGTTTTTCCAATTCCCTCGTGAAGAAATCATGCTCTTCCCTCATCACTGATCGTATCTCGGGGGCAATCTTGTCCGGGTAGCGTCGCAGGTTGTGCCAGTGCGTCAACCCTCGCAAGGCCTGCTCAAGGGGCAGGGCCGAGTCGACGTCCGAATCGATGTCGCTCCCGGCGAGCCACTCGTCTCTCAGCTCGGGACGGCAGTGGAGGTAGACCGCGGTGATGACCCGCATGTTCCCCTGCCGCCATTTGCGTCCGCAGTAGGGGACCTGCCCTTTGAAGAGCTTGAGCGTGTAGAGGCGAAGATCAGGCTGCGGCACCTTCAAAGACTTACGAATGATGGTGGACGACTTGTACTGGACGAGGAGGAGGTTCCTGTGCGACTTGTTCTTGCAAATCTTCTGCATGACGCGCAGGTAGTTGATGAGGGAGAAGAAGTTGCGGCGGGAAAAGTCCGTGATGGGCTCCTCTGGCAGGTTGGTGACCGGGTATCCGAGCTCATCGACCTCTGGCCTGACCATGCCCTGATCCTCCTCCTTTGGTTCCTCGCCATCATTTGGTCGCCTCTTGATTGGGGGTGGCACAGCTTCGTCCTCGCTTCCTTCTTCGATTTCCTCATCGTCAAGATCAACCTCATCGTCGGGGAGACCGTCAACATCGCCGCTCTCCTTTGATTTTGAACGATGGTTACAGAAGTGGAAGAAACTATTTCATTGTTAGCTATCTCTATCCCTGCCAAAGAGGAATGCGCCTTTACCTATTTTCCACTCGGTCAGTCTTGCTGTCGACGACTTGTTGAATATCCTGATGGGCGAATAGCTTCAGAACTAAAGGAATGTAATTGGAATCGAGCAAGAGCTGGGTCAGATATTCGAACTTCAGCACGTCTAAGGAATTACCAGTCAGCATTGCCATATGGAAACCACCAGAGCATATACTTACGTGAGAGTCTAAGCCATTTCAACAAAAGCAAAAGAATGGCGGTCATTGCCTTGGATGTGATTTCCCTCGAGCGTGCAGCGTCGATATCTTCCCCCGATGTGTCTGACATGTCTTGCTGAGAGCCATCTTGAGGCCGAGGAATCTGCCCGCCATTAACTGCTGGGTTCATACCTCTGCCCATTTGGCCAGGCTGTTGCTGGTTTGGTTGTTGTGACACAATCGCCGTGACATTTGCTAGAATTGGGCGCAGCAGCACAATAACTAGTGACTGGAGGTGAGGAAGAGCGTCTCGCTGCTGAAGTTAGATTCGGTATTCTCAGAGAGGAAAATGACACGTTGTATATGACTTACGTAGAACTTCTCTACAGCCTCTAATCGCTGCCTGTCTCTCGGACTCAGCTGCTCAGGGCGAGGCCCGAAATCTGGTGCGAAATCTGCTGACGAGGGTGGTCTCTTCTCCTTCATCTCCTCCGCTCTCAACTCTTGTATGATCTCGCGCTCCTCTAGTGAGAGTTCATTGAGATCGAGGTCGTCGATTTCATCCTCGTCCTCATCTTCGCCCCAACCGCGCTCATATTTGAGGAACTTTTCGCGCTCCTCCCACAACTGTCTGGTGGCACGAGTCATCCTTACTCGACTCGAGAAGAGTTCTCCAGCTTCTAAGATTGAGGCAGGAATATCACTCCCCTCCCACTTGCGACTAACAAGTGCTTCGTGAAGATCTGACATGCCCTTTCCGCCGGCACTGTTGCTAGTGGCATCTAGTGGAGGGTACATGAACGGGAAATTCTGGTTTGTTTGGTAGTTCTGCTTCTTGCCTCCCTTGCCTACTCCCGGCGAAGGGGGCGGCGATGGGGCTGGTGTGGCAATGTGAACAGGTTGATTTAGGATTGAGCTTCCCACATTTTGGGCGTTAGTATTGAACGGTGTAATGCCATTTGCCGCGCTGGTTCGTGTGGTATGGTTCGGTAAAGGGGGTAGGAGAGAGGTATTCTCTGCCTCTAATGGGATCTTTGGCTGTGGGGGTATGTAAGCCGGATATTTAGATGTGACCTCTTGTCGAAAGACATGGTAGTCTAAGGGAGATGCTGTAATGGTCTCTTTGGCCGGCCCGCCGACTTGCTCGCTTGTGGCCTTCTTGACGGCCTGCATTTCTTTGCTGCCTCCAAAAACCAGCAGGATAGATTTCCAGAAGAGTAGGAAGATCTAGGCAAACATCAGTTTCAAATCCACAGTTCCACGGGAACAAGTTGAATACATACCTGCATATGGGGCATAATGTTATGGTCATCCCATCGAAGCTTGGATGTAGCCGTCATCATAAAGTCAACCAGTGAAGGGTTCAAATCAACTGAGTTTATTGTCAGAATCTTCTTCGCTTGTTTGGGTTGTATATTTCATGGGATGGACCTACGTAGCTTGTTATAGGCAGATGACATGTCCTCTGGATCGTTGAGAGTCTCTTGAATGCAAACATACAAGATAGTCATGAGATTCACCAGCTCATCCTGTGCCTCCTGCGGGCTGTTTCCCTGATGGGCATCGCCAGACCTAAAACGATGGCAATTAGTTGGCTGGCCACAAAGGGATACCCGCGAGAATCACACAACGAATCACATACCAATGCAGCTCGAAGCTATTCTTCAGCGCTTCCCAAATGACCGGTAAGCCTTCAAGGGAGGTAAGACACTCAACACCCGCCTTGATAGCCCGTAACTGAGAGATGCTAGCCACAGACTGGCTGTCACCACTGGTCGCATTTGACATGGCCGTATCACCCCAGCGGCCAAGCACTAGGTAGAGTAGCTTCCCAATCGACGCCGACCGCAGAGCTGCATCGTTGGACTGGACACCCGCAATAGCTGACTGCACGAAGCGCGCCCTGGTATCATTGTCGGCATCACCCCACGTCTTGAAGGAGGCGTTGTTCTCGTTCTTCCAGTGCCAATCAAAGGCCCGCCGCGCCGAGTTCAGCCTCAACCATTGCCAGAACTGGTAGTTGAACCATTCATCAAGCTCCTCCGCGTGAGGCCCCATGTCTGAGTATTCAAAATCGTAGGCGGGCTGTTCAATGCGGTTGACTTCAGCGACAATCCGGCGCAGCTGGAGGAGGGACAGCGAGTCCGTGGGCGCCGCTTCTACGGCTGTCGACTGCGGCGGATCCGGTGCCGGCGAGGGCGCCGGGGGAGCAGCTTGCATCGCATTGCGCTGGAGGTGAGGCCGTGCTGGGGGGGCGGGAGCAGGAGGATCTGGTGTTTCGACATTTGCACCGATGGCTATGAATTCGCCCGCGTCCGCGACGTCGCCCGCTGGCCTCGATACATCGCCCTCCTCCGAGAAGAGGGGAGCCTGGTCAGGCGCAGCTCCGTCCGCCCATGGTCTCTCCATTTTTCATATATCTTTCTTCGGTCACGTTGAGTGGTTGCGGGGGCTCATGATGACGGCGCTGGAATCGATGGGGTCAATCTTATCTACACCATGACACCTCGTGATCATAGGTGGTTTCCGATGGTCGTCCCAAGGTTGGCTTTTTATTTTCGATATATGGCGTGGGTGCCGTCTTGATTTTAGTCCGTTTCGCAGTCGATCACGAAGATGCGTGTGAATAATTGCTGTTAGCTACCTGGTCGCTAGGCGTCTGGTGAGTTGTAGAGACCTGGAGCTACCCAAGGAACAAGGCTGTTTGATTGGCTACCCACTGGAAACAACCCGAACCTCATAGTGGGCTAAATTAGTGCCTGGACCACTAATTCGTGCCTCAAACTCGCGTGGCTTCGAGACAGCTACATCATTTGGGCAAAATTTGAGATTGAAGGTACAGATATATCCTGACGGGTCACTCAAAATTCTCGAGAACCTAACAGGCGGCTGGGAGTTTCAGGGCATCATCTTGCGGCTGTCATTGAGCAGCCGAGCTAGCTATCATAAGGGCTGCCCTTCCAGATAATCTAGCTATCCTCCTTCAGAACATCATTTTATTAGTATGAACATAGCTATCGGCCTCTAAAGTAATGCTTTAATTTTACTAGCAACCTCACTTTTAATGCCTAATTAAAGATATATTACGTTATAAAATATGCCAGGCTATAGTATTAACTTACGAGGATCCCCAAATACACTTATGCTCCGAAACCCCCTAGCGCGCGTAGGAACATTAGAAATCATGAATAAAGGCAGGAAGATGTTCTCCCTAGCCATTTGATATACCTAGACACGTATGGCTGTAACTTCCAGTCTCAACTCATTCCTCAGTTCCCGCCGAGTCACCATCTGATTCTCCAGCGCCATCCTCGCCTGCAGTCCCTCTATCTGCAATCTTCTTCTCCTTCTCTTTAGCTCTTTTCCTCAGCTTTTTCAGCCGATTCATCCTTTTCTTCTTGTCTTTGACTTGCTCCTCTTTCTCGGCAGCTTGCTTCGAGGCCGCCTCAGCCTCCGCCGCTCTCTCCTTGGCTTTCACTCTAAGTGCAATCCGTTGCTTCTTCCCTAGCCGTTTCTTCTTTTTTGAGTCTTCGTTTTCTTTGCTAGCACGGGCGGCAGGCCCACCCTTTCTTGTCGCGGTGATGTGTGTTACTTTCCAAGGATACTCCATTCCCCAAAATCGCTGGCGAGACCGCTCCAGGACGTCTTGTCCAGACACAGCTGAGAAATCGTATTCCTTTTGTAACTTCCCGGAAGGTCTCCCCGGGAAATAGAATGAGTACGGCCGTGTTGGAACCAGTCCTCCTTCACCATCTGGTTCGCTGTCGTCCTCCAACACAACCTTTGTTGGCACAGCACCAGCACCTCCGAAGAGACAGAACTCTAGCTCCCCATTTTCATCCTCGATCTGGGCGTCAGAATCCTCACCGGGGCTAGACCGCGACCTTCCGGGCTGAGGCTGAGTCCCCGTCTCCGCGGGACCTATCTTGATTGTTTCTGCTAGCCGCGCCTCAAACCGTGCACGGAGGGCTGCATCATACTCAGCGTCAGAGTCTTCTGAACAATCAGACCCATTGAGCTCTTCACGGCGAACTCTGCACCATGAGTTAGCAGGGGGGCGGTTCCGGCATGTATAGTAATCACGTACCTCTTCGCTTCCGGGAAGTCAAACATTTCTTTTCCTCTGCGGGAGAAGCAGCAACACGGCAACAATTTTTCCTTTTGGCCTTGAAGAAGAGCTATATTCTCGATCCCCTTTTCGCTGTTGCTGTCGGACGGCGTCAAATGTCTAAATTTTGGCTGGAATGTGGGTCTTCCGATAACACTGAACGACACCAATCGTAGTCCCACTTTTTCAGACGTCGCGCTCGCTTAGACTCTATTGAACAACTCGTGACATATATGCCAGATTGGTGAATGTGCGACTTAAATAGTGGAAGCACTTATTTGCTTTTTCCAGGCTTTACACCCGGGCAGTTGGGCGTTGGATGGTAGAAAGGCACCATCTTCATCAACAGAATGGCCAACAATCTACACAGCAGCGGTTCACACCAGAACTAGAGACCCGAAGAGGGACGTCTTTCTCGAAATCAGGTTGGGGTTCAGGGATTCAATTGCTTAGATCTCTAGTCGTATATTGCTTTCTTTCTCGTTCAACTGTTGAACGAAGACCAACGTCCCTCCAAACCATGTACACCACCACGGCTTTCCCTGCTTTCTTCGTCTGCAGCAAATGTAATTGATTCCGAAAGCTCACAGAGTATACAGTCAATGATCTCATACTGTTTCAATTACAAAATCAGAACTTGCCGTCTACAGTAGTTATTGCATCCCTGCACTTAGTAACGAGTTTCCGAGCACATCGACCTGTTACACGTCGACTGCTCACTTTTTTTTCTCCATTGTGTTTTCTTCCATGAATCCCGTACATACAGCTCTCGTATGATCCCTAGGGTTAAGAGTATTCAATCAAGTCATCGAACCGGGAGCTTGCAACGCTGCAGCCTCCTAAGACCTGCCCCCAGCTAAATATGCCTGTGAAAGCAGACGCTCTGAGATTAGGCGATCATGATCGTCTTCAGCTAGTGTCTGCTTCTTAATGAAAACAACTCTCTCGAGACTATTAGTTGCATCCTTAATATGGTGATCATGAAGATATACTTTAATAAGCGTCTGCTCTGATTCTAGGCGAATATGATCATCTTCAGATAGTGTTTGTTTCTGGGTCGAGACAACATGGTCAAGAATATCAGTTGCCTTACTAGAACGGCCAACTAGCAGATTTGTAAAAGCAAGCCGGCCCTCTAATACCAGACACTCATTGTCCGGCTAGCGTTTGTTTCTGGATTGAGATGACGTGCTCAAGAAAATCAATTGCCTTCTTGATAGGATTATGAGTTAGATATGTAGTAGCAAGCATATGCTCCATTTCCAATCTGAGTTGGATATCTTCGAACAGGTTTTCTTTTGCCCGGTTTACAGCTTCAAGACAGTATGGCATTGCCTCTTTGAAGCGCCGTTCGTGTTGCAAGAGCTGCCCAACTTGAAGTCGCAGGCAGACTTGTTGGATCAGAGGACATGTTTGACATTAATCCAACAATCTCAGCCCATGTGGCAAGAAAAGCCGCCAAGAAGCAGAGTGACTTCGCAGTTCCGCTTTGTCAGTTGTCTGTTCCGTGTTGCCTTGCAGTTCGATCCACGACTAGGTTGCCAAATGAACCAATCAGTGCATGTCGAGAAGTTGGTCATCCTCTATCTGTCAGACAAAGCTATTATTGCGTCTTCAAATTCTTTACCTTCATCAGAGCCAGGCAGCATCGAGCATGGAATAGCTCGAGGTTCAACCCAGGACATGAACATGAGCAAATCTGCTGCTCTGGGGTCTGTTTCAAGAATCTGGGCGAATGATATAAGCCAGGTGGAAAGAGTGGCACTTAGTGTACCCTTGTATCACGCCGGGTCGAAGAACTCCGTGCTCAACCATCTTTCTTATTCCGAGGGTTCAGGCCATGGACGGCGATTATGCTGTATTTGTCAGCTGATTTACTCGGTTTGGTTATTATTGGAATGCTCACTCGACCTTCTCCTCAACGGACGTGTCTCCAGCCTCCGGGTAAAGCTGGCGTAGAGGCTCGAGACTTTTTAGCTGGCAGTCACACGGAAGGGCTCAACCACTTACCATTATTTCCAAGCTATACCAGGAGACTTTCACTTGCCAGGAGGTCATAGAAGAATCTGAAATGAGCAGCGATGCCTTATTTGCGGTGCGGCTGATGCACCAACACACCCGAACTGATCTTGTCCAATCACACACGAGAACTTTTACATCTTGGGCGGTATGCATAAGAGATCCAAGACTTATTTCCCCTGAAACTAATACCGCCAGCCCTGTTGATCCAAAGTGTAAGTTGCCAGCCTTCCTTCCTCAACCAACATACAGACTCATTATTTTTTCCTTGCAGTTGTTTGGGTTGGCCCAGACTTTTCTTGTTCTCACCTATGCGCACACATACAGACTAATCATGAGCGTGATATGTTCACCGACAAATATAGCATGAGTTGCATTTCCAGTATTCTTTTTGGCTTTCTCGATAGCCAGCTCATAGCCCTGTATGCCGATCAACTTTGGCTTCTCCCAGCCTTTTCTATATATATCTCAGTCACGCTGATGAGAGCAGTGTGGTCCACCACACCCGCCCTGTGGCGCGATGACTTGATATTACACTGCAGGTCCACCATATAAACACAATGTGGATCATCAATATACCCATCTCAAGAGCTTTAGCTTCTAGTTTTGAATGTGTACCCAGCAGCCTGCATGTGATCATCTCGGGAACACTCGCTCACGCATCCATATAAGCAACCAATAACTGAAGATATATATGTGTTATAAGCAGGGATAAATATATATATGTATATATTAGTCCGGGTCCCCCTTATACATTTATCCCAGCCATTGAGCTGCCAGTCGCTGTACTACCTGGATCAGCTCTTCCTACTATTTACTACCAATCACTGCCAAGCCGATGCGTAGGTACATACTAGTAGTATATGTACAACCTCGCCATCTTTGCCTTGAAACAAAAGCGATCAGGCCTGTGCATGCTATTGTACATAGAAGTCTCTGATGTTCCGCTCAGCATTAATATGCACGAGGCAAATGAAACCGGGTATCGTCCACTTGCTTTCCTCCACACGCATTGCATCGTCCTCAATCCTATCTGAGGGCAAGACCCAATTCAGGTTTGCTTCATGTATATACTTTCCTCAGCACCAAAAGCCAGAGCTCACAGGTGCTGCTGTAAATCCTGGTTGGTATGCTCCCACGGTCCGCTAGTGAACACTCATGGTGGCTACTCATTCCCCGAAAGTGACCATCGTCACTCTATTGAATGCACACGAGGCGCCATGCCATACTCGGCATGGATAGCTCACCATATGTTCCATACAATCACTAACCATCCTTCTTC